AAAAAAATGACGAAAAACAGAGGAGGAGAGGACGGAGGGAGGGGAAGGGTATGGACTGCTGTGGCTGACCATATGATAGGCATAGCAATCAGGACACCCCCCCCCCTCGTCCCTCCATCTCCTCCTCTTTGTTTCTCTTTTTTTCTTTCCTTTTTCCTTTCTTTTGTTGGGGGGAGGTGGGGGGGAGATGGATCTGCAGTTCAAACCCTTCCCCATCCCTCCTTTCTCTCCTCCTCCTCCTCCTCGTATGCTCTCCTCCTCCTCCCCTCGTATGCTCCCCTCCTCCCTCCTCTATCTCCTCTCCTCGCTTAAGTTCCCTTCCCTTCACCAACAAGAGATCGAAACAATACATCAACGGAAAAGGATGAAAGAAGAGGAGGAGAGGGAGGAGGGAGATGAGATCAAACCACAATGGCAAAGAAAATGACCAACGATGAGGACGACAAAAGGAAGGAGAGGGGGCAACGAATCTATAGCTCAAACTTTTCCCAATCCCTCCTCCATCCCCTCTACACCGACAAGAGATCAAAAAAAGTACTACAACAAAAAATGACGAAAGAAGATCAGGAGGAGAGGGAGGAGGGACTCGAGATATAACAACAACGACAACAAAAATGACGAAATACGCGGAGGAGAAGAGGGAGGAGGAGGGGGCAACGAATCTTCCGTTAGAACCCCCTTCCCCATCCCCTCCTTTCTCTCCTCCTGCTCATCCTCTTTTGCTCCCCGCCTCCCTCCTCCCTCCTCCCTCCTCCATCTCCTCCTCCTCTTTCCAGTTCCCTGCCCTCCGTCAAGAACAGATCAGAAAAGTACGGCAAAAAAAATGAAGAAAGAAGACGAGGAGAGGGAGAACGGAGGAGAGGAGAGGGAGAACGGAGGGGTACAGATACAATTTTCCCTATATATCGTCACAAATTTATATATACGGGATTCTGCAGACTGTTGAGGGTTCAGCCTCCTGATGAGTAAGTCGGTGAAACTCCGACGAAACAGTTTGTCACAGCCCCTCCATCGTTTGTTGTCCTCTTCTCTTCTCCCTCTCTGCCTACGGTTTACCGGGCAGCTCTGTTTGACTGATATATATAAAAGTTAATAATAAAACACAATTATATACGTATGTATATACAGATGTATATGTGTGTACAGTTGTCCACATACATGCAAAACGAGGAGACCGTCGAAGAGGCGGAGTGCAGAATGCATCGAGAAAAAAAAAAAAAAAAAAAGCGCATTATGACAAGCAGTAAGCTACATACAGGAAAAAACAGAGGGCCTGCTCACAAACGGATGATTCGACAAGGAAAAAAAAAAAAAAAAAAAAAAAAAAAAAAAAAAAAAAAAA